GATGTCAAGAAACACTACGATTATTGGCCTTTGATAAGTATGACTGTGTTCTAACATTTGGTGGAGGGTAGAGAAATGATCAATACATCCTCGACCAGAACAAAAACCAGCCTGCTCCTCTTGAGTAGAAACTTTCTCGGGTTTTGAACAACCTACGAAGTATGACGGAAGCCAATAGCTTGGACGCAATCGGAAGTAGACTTATCCCCCGATAGTTGTTACAGGAACGACGTGAACCCTTTTTAAAGATAGGGACAACTATCGACTCATTCCATGACGTTGGTACACTTTCTAGTTCCCAAACCTTTGTAAACAACGTCGTCAATTCCTTAGTCAGAAAGTCACCACCATCTTTAAAAAAGGCCGGAGGTAAGTCATCTGGGCCAGGTGATTTGTAGCGCTTCAAGAGTGGGAGCTCCTTGAGGACTTCCGCCTCATTTGGTGTATCAGTTGTCACAGGCCATGGAGGGCAGGACAGTCTGACCGATGTTGCCGGAGCAGCAGGCCAGTTGAACTGCCCTTCGAAAAATTCTGCCCATCGTCCAAGACGTCAATGGATGTTAGTGATTGGCGTCCCATCATCCTCACAGATTGTTTCGCTTACACCAGACTTCTTGCTGCCAGTGGCTCGGATGAGTTAGAAGAGCTTCCGGTAATTACCAGATGCAGCTGCTGCTTCCAACTCATTAGCGCGCTCCGACCACCAGGCTTCTCGGTCCTTACGCAAGCTTTGCCCGATTTCATTACGTAACATCCTTCGTTTGTGGTCAAACTCACGGTCACTCGGAGTAGACCGACGGGCTTCAATGAGTTGTAAGGAGCATTTTACATCAGCAGGACGAATTATATTTAACCAGATGAAATGCTTAGGAGTTGAGTTCATGAACAGATGCTATATCTTGTTTTGGCTTCCCCTCATTTTATTTCAAATTACTTCTTCGCCAGCCGACATTAAACAAACTTAACATATCCCAGACACCTCAGGTGATGAAGTTTTACAGTCTTGTCAACAGATTTGTTATCTTTGGTATTTTAGGCCAAACCACAACAGTGCTCACGACATCTATGCAGTGCTCCAAAGACATAGTCAGGATCTTACAACCTCCAAAGATGATGGCTTGTTCGACTTCATTTCCATTGTGAATTGTATGTCCTTGAAGATGTTGATCAGACTGTAGGTGTTTTCCAGCCCGTCTTTAGTGATGCAAAATCTGTCATCCACATAACGAATCCACATTTCTGATTTGGTCACTGGTGTAATCGAGGCTTCCAGTCTCTGCATCACTGCTTCTGCATTAAGTCCTGATATTCGAGATCCCATTGGTGTTCTTTTCGTTTGTTCGTAGGTTTGTTTGTTGAATTAAAACTACGTCGTTAGCGGTAAATCAATGAGTTCTAGTAGACCTTGACTTTGAAGCTTCGTGTGCTTTGGGAGATTTGTGTCGTTGGTGAGAAACAGGAATAGAGTTTCCTTTGCTAAGCTTGGTTCTATTGAAGTGAATGAAACTTACATTGAAGGATATCAGTTCATCGTTGTTGGTTTGAATCTAATTAAGCTTTCTTAAGAATTGTATTGGATATTTGGAATGATGAAACGAATCCTTTAAATGTTTCAATATTATTGAAATTTCGATAAATTGTATATTAAGGTTCCGGGGAGTGATCAGATATGACGTAGTGGAATGTTGGGTTTGTGTAGTTTCGGTCTATTGTAGAATCACAAAAGTGTAATCTTACAGCTTACATATGTTTCCTACCTCGACAGACATCGATTAATGTAAAGTGGATCGCTGCGTATTGATTAAGTTGTTTTTATATATTTAAGCCTGTTACGTCTCTCGAAGTATCGGCTGCCGACCAGTGGTCTCCAAGAAACTCTATCCGGGAATATTCTTTGCAGTCTTGATTTCTGACTTCAGTTACCGAGATTATGTGTTCTTTGGTCTGTATTTTTCCCTTTTGCCCCTAGCTTGAGCTTGTCTTGTGAGATACAGTCTAATGGTTTTCACAAAGTGTGTTCTATCCACCTCCAGCGTCTTTTCCTGATTTCCTCCACCTCTGGTTGCTGGCTTATTCTCTTTCAGAGTAGATTATTGCTGATGGTCTCTAGTCAATACATTTGGGGTCACTTGCATAGACAGCTCTTTATGAATACTTGTACTTTTTGGTGATTTGGGTAGCAACTCTCCAGGTTTCAGCTCTGTACAATAGCACTGTCTTAAAGTTAGTGTTGGAAATTGTGACTTTGGTTTTGTCTGAGAGTTGTTGTGAGTTACGTAAACTCTCTGATTGTAGGGATGTTGCCCTTCATTCTCTAACTCGTTCCTTGATATATGCGTCAGATCATCCTTGTTTGTTATTGGTAGTGCCTAGATGTGTAAAGTTTTCCATCTCTTCAAGAACGTCACGATCAAGTGTGGTTTTGTTGGGTCTCTGTGTGCTGTATTTTAGGATCCTGGTTTATCCATTGCGGAATTTGGCGCTTCACTGGTTTTCTTCGTCTGCATTTGTTTCTGTGCGTGGAATAGAACGGTTAATCCACCTAGAAATCCAAATAACGCTGCTGTCTATGATATTCACTGTATCATGTGTTTTTCCCAAGCTGTGAACCCACTTAGTAACTAAAGGAAAAAAATCTGAAGTAATCAGTCTTCACTTGGAATACATCTGTGAGCTGTCCTCCATTAGTGACTTTATAATTCAGTCCGTCGTAGGAATTTTGTATGGTGGTGGCTATCTTTCCACGCGCTCCATATTGTTAAAATAGGTTCCATTAGGTTCTCCTATCCACACTATTAAATGCTTTCTCATAGTCACACGATTTCGTCGGGAAAATTGCAACCGACCTCATTTCTACTGTGAGTAGGCGTACATAGATAGATGAAAATGTATGTTCATAGATGTAACTTTTTGCAGTTACTGAGGTAAGCTTCATATAAATTCACTTATACTTTACTCATCTTTGGATCAAATAGTATAAACATGTATATATTTTTCTACCTCCATTTATTTCACTGTTATGATTTTTGTTTAACATACCATACCTTTTATTCAGTGTTTGATGTGTCGAATCGTGAGAGCTTTGATCATCTGACCAGTTGGATGGAAGAGTTAAAAACTTATTCAGACAATCCAAACATGATTAAACTTCTTGTTGGAAATAAAATTGATAATGTAAGTTTTTATAAAATAATCAAATATCTACAAACATGTACTTTTAATTAGACAGTTTTTTCATCATTATTTAACATTTTCTAGTTGTCCATTAGTAACCTATTAAACTAAGGTATTAAGCTTGATAATAATATTTACTGTTAAATTATACAGTTAATAAAAGGAAAAAGTGAAAAAGAATATTCTACTTTCCTACTGGCTTTAATTTGAGATAATTAAAATTCCAATAGTTGAGATTATAAGTCAATTGAAGCTAGACCACCATGGAAAACCTGGAAGCACTAGACGGCCGTTTTGTCCTATTGTGGGTCTCTTCAGCAGTGCGCATCCACGACCCCACCTATCCCCCAACTACGTCGACGCATAGTAATGGCTAGTGTAGAAGTATGTTGGAAGTAAGCTATAGGCGGCCAAACCAACACATGGCATATGTCCGTGAAAATACAGAGTATTGGACTGAGTCATTTAGGTAAATGCGGACTACGTGGTTGTGGTCCGCATGATTATTGTAACCAATGGTTATGACTGGTTGACATCAATTCACTTTTTGTATTCCCTTGTATTCTAAGTTCCCTACAAATTTTATTCATTTGATTAATTTATGTTTTGTTTCATCGCATCTTGGATGCCTGTTATTTTCTATTATCATTACTACTTGTATTACTGTGGGATTTGCCGTTGTGTTTATGGGTTGTAGAAACATGAGCCGATGTACACTTGTCAGCTTTCACATTATGTATAATTGACTGGCCGATACTTAAAACACTTATTGCCTAGGTATTGTATGAACTGTGATTTTACGGTTCCATCATGTTACATCTGGCATATCTAAAATTATTGATATGACCGCTGCTCTTGTGCTACTATAAAGTAATCCCGGAGCGTTTAAATAAAATATTGTTTTATGTAGAATTGTAAGTTTTAACACCACTTATATATCTCAGTTGTAAACACTAGAATGCTAGATTCCTTTGTCCAGCTAACTTTGGATATCGAAGCGCTAGTTTTCAATCCCGACTTCTAGCCACATTTCATTGATATCACTTGACTTCCCCTTAATTTCTCTGAACCTCCTGAATACAACTGTTTTCATGATTATGGAATGCTTTAGTAATAAAGAATTATCATTGGTATTATTTTTGTTTTTACTCTAGATTTCCCGAGAGATTTCTCGTGAAGAGGGACTTCGTTTTGCCCGTTTATACAGTATGCCGTACGCTGAAACAAGTGCGAAAACCAGTGAAGGTGTTAATCAGCTATTTTCTGATGTTGTTACTAGAATTTATAATCATTCTGAATTGTGGAATCAAGGAAAAAGGCGTGCAATTAATAATTCTTCAAGTCGTGCTCACTTAACTGAACTTGAAGATAAACAGACCCGTAGTGGCTGTTGTTCATAATATTCGTAGATGTTTTGGTATACATTCCTTACACTTTGCGAATTCATGACTTCACTTCATTATTGAAATCTCTTATTTTATCCAACTAAATATTATGTATGGTATACTATAACGGTTTACTGCTATTTTTAATGTTTTCTGATAACAGTTTATTACAAACTCCTTCTTTAAGTTTATAGTGTCATTCAGTATAAGGCTGTGATGTTATTTGTTAGCCAAAATTTTATGATGCTTTCATAGTTTTGCGCTGCTTTCCTTCATCTATTTTGACTAGATAAATATCTAAAAAATAGGTTATGTCCTTTTTTCGTTGGCTGTTTCATTGTTTCTTTTTCAAAAAAAAGATCAAAACAACTGAGACTATTTTCTTTATCCATTTAGACAGTTAGTTATTTTCTTTTCAAGATTTTTCTTGTTTATTTTATTGTACCTTTAAAAAATTTCAATATTTCCGTTACTTGCTTTGAAATTGATCACACTTTTATAGAATTTTTTCGTCAAAGCTAGTATTATTACTGTGAATCATTGTAGTGATACTTTTTAAGTGATAGCTATGTAGTTTAGTATAGACCCTAATGTGTATAAACGTTTTAGAACCAGTAAGGATGCCTCGAACAGTCGTCTGTGAATGAAATTAAATTCCGTACTTTTCTTAACATCTGGAGTTCAATGTGTACTATTTGTATTTCTTGGTAATACGAGTACTTTTGGGGTTGGATAGTTCACATTTCAAAGATGTTCATGTATCATTGTAACGTTCACGAAACTGTAGATACCATGATTTGATTATCGGCCCTGCGATTCAGGAGCCCTTCGAAAGAGTTTTAGGATTCTTCGATTATTAATCAAGCAGTGAACCATACTCTCTATACGTAAATATTTTCCTTAGATATTACAACGAAAATAATTCTCGGTGATTATATGGGGAAAACTGAAATTTTGTATCAATGCAAAATTATGTTAGTAACAATTCTTCTTGTTTTTTGCCCTAGTTGTGCAAATAAGAATGTTTGGAATTGACTTATTCTCTTTTTCTTATACAAAAATAAGCATCGCTCGCTAGTCTTACTTTCGAATGTCGCAATACGATTTTACTAAACTGATCTGCTGGATATCATATGCTTTCACCCCTTAATAGTGATGTTTTAGAAATAACTTGGGTTAAGAGAAGTTATTGTTGGAGAGGTTCGACAGAAGACAACCATTCTTTTTGGAGCAAATAGACTCCAACTGTCCTGTAGCGAGAACATTAGTTTTATTGGACGCGGAGAAGTCTCAACAAATTGACTCTTTGGGATTCAGCTCGAAGATGTAAAGTTAATGAATGTATTTAAGAAAGAATTAGGTAAAGAACTATTGGAAAAGAATTAATCTCAAAGAAGATTTGTGTGGTATCAAAACGCCTGGAAATACAACAGAGGTGTTCGTTAAGTACCTAAAAAATACTGTAAGGAAATATCGGGGGAACTCCCACTGAAATGATAGCTGCCCGGAAGCTCAACACATGCTCAGAGGTCGAGGTATTGCAAAGTTAACTCAAGCAGAATGATAAAATTCACAGGATGGTTGTGACCATTATTGGGCGAGGAAATCTTAGGAGGAAGAAAGAGCAACTGAGATATCTAACCAGACAAGTGTTTGGAATGATCAAACATCACCTTTTAGCGAACTTATCCTTGTCAAACATAAGGGTAATGGGAGTTTGAAAATTAGACCTAATCTTGTCTGACTGGGCTTGACCGCTGACCGTCCCAATATGTAAGAAACGACAAAAATTCTCTTATGATAACCGCTGAAGTATTGCTCTTGCTAGTATAATATTTAGAATGCTTCAGTAATCATCCGAAGTTGTCCATAGGTTTTAGGATAGAAACCAATGCTTTATTCTGATCGGTTTTCTCATTCGAAAGTGATATTCAACTCCGTCGGCTTAGAGGTTTAGTGGCAGTTTTTGTCACTGGAGGAGGGACTAGAAAAGTATCCAGACCTGAAAGCTCCTCAATAAGAACTTCGCTGTCGAGTTAGAACTTACAGAGAACTGTAATCGAAAACACTGAATTGCATTCGTCAGCGTTGCCTAATTTCTTCGCCCCTATTTAGCTCCATTGTCATTCTTTTTGAGATGCTCATCATCCAGCTTATCAGAGATTGATTTCCTACCTGACAACCTTCGTCTTCTCATCGTATTGTCGAGATGTTAAATTAAAGTATGCAAATGACAGAGTTCTATTTAGTGAAGACGCTGACAAAATGCAGGGTGTTCTGATTTCTTTGAACAACAATACGAACATATTCGGGGTGCGTATCTTTGTTCTTAAATGTATAATGTTGCTTGAGGACTGCTCTGCATTAACAACTAAACTAATTATAGGGAGTGAATTAGTTGAGTGTACCGATCACTTCAATTATCTTAGTTTTAATAAAACTGCTGAGTTGGTGGCTGACGAAATCTAGGCACGGTGCTAGGAGACTCGATTGGGTTTCGCCAGCCTACGTTATTTGTGGTGCACGTGAAATGTATGTCTGTCAATGATGTGACGAGCACACTGTGCATTAGTTCATCCTATCTATCTTTTTCTATGGACATGATACTTGGCTAATGAAGGTAAAAGACGTCAATAGTCTCCAAATAAGTATATGATTATATGTATTTCCGAAGCATTGTTCATGTATAGTAATACAACCAAGTGAACATAGGATACTTGATAAAAATACGCGAATCCATTGATCAATTACGAACCTTTATTGAATGAGGTGGTTAGAAAATATGTTATAAATACCTAAGAACCTCCTACTTCGACCCGTAATGCTGATTGGGATTAGCATAGATAAGAAGGAAGCTAAGAGTGTTCAAACCAAATTAAATAGTCAATTTCGTTGGACTGTGGTCGTGTGGCATGGCAGAATTTTTGTATCTGGCTGCACAGACTGACATAAACATAACAAGTGTGTAAATATCGTGCTGTATGCATGATTAGATGGCCTTGAATTTGGGCCTGTACGGTGTTATGAAAGTCAGTTGTCGCGGACCCTAAAGTAGGGTTCAAGCAACCCTTCACTCTCTGACTTTCAATCGTCTCACAGATAACGTCATTTTGCAACAAAAATAATCTTTAAATTGTTCCGTTCTCAGTAAATAATATATGGGTCAATTATACAAGTTGCAACCTCCCACAATATTCTCACTGTGTGCTAAAAATTAGTGAAAAACACTACTCTAATTCTCTTTCACCTAATATTATTAAAAATCTGAAAAATAATCACGGTAGGATGCAAATGATCAATGTATGAAAATTAGCATTTTAAGAAAGCATGACAGGAATTCAAGTTCAATCTAAGCATACACACAAAGTACCGAAAAGTGAAAATGTTACATAATAAACTATTATTTTTTAACAGTTTGTTATGATGAGTTCACCTGTAGACAGTCTTTTACACTTAATGTCATATTTTACATAAACACTTAACATAAACAAAATGTTTTTCATAGCAAAAAATTAGAATTATAAACATAATCAAATAAAGTAGGACGATAATGATGATGATGTAAAACGATTAAAAAAAAATTCAAGTTACAGTATCATAACAACACAAAATCCGGAATTAAAGATTCATGAATTAATTATACTTTCTTTTATCGTACAATAATTATATACAATGATTTCATTTTAAAGCAATACATAATCAGCATTACTATGTCGTTGTTGTTCACCTGAAGTTAATGGGTTTTTTGCAGTTACAATAATTGAAGAGGTTTTATGTTTAGGCTTTTGAGATGATAATGATAATCCATATGTTTGTAGATCATTAAACATTTTCTTTTTTATTGTATTGTATCCTAGTTGTCAATGTTGTATTGTTTTGTGAAAAGAACAATAAGTATCAGTGATTAGCTTGCATTTATAGTGTGATTAGTTAAACATAATTAACATCTCATCCATGTCAGCAGACAACAATTCTTGTAGATATTCAAAAACCCTTCTATTCCTTTATAGGTATACCTTGTTAAACATCGGGGAATCTCTGTAAATTATTGATCCCAGGTAGTGACTTTCCATTTTAATTAGTGTTTTGGCTAATTAAGTATTTTTTGCTTTGACCAAATTATTTGAATAGTACAGGCTACTAAGCTAACGTGATTAAGGAAGAAGTCTACGGAGATTGTCTAACTTGAAGTTAGTTTATCTGACAAAATAACACCTATTGTTAGGAGTTGTAAAGACTGTTGAACTTTATTGAAATCATGAACAGATTCAAGTTAGACCACCATTGGAAACATGGAATTATTTGATGAACGTTTCGTCATACTATGGGACTCTTCATCAGGGAGAATTCACAAGCCCACAGGATTTCAATGGTGGTCGAACTTAGGTGTGTTCACGATTTCAATAGAATCGATATGTATTAAAAAACCATAGGACATTGTAAAGTTATTCCTCCTGAGAAGTTCGGAATCACCATTAAACACCTATTTATTGTTATGCGGATTTCCCTTATTCTCCTCTAATGTTAGTCTGTAATGGTATTGAATATACAGCTTTAACTCATATGAAGCAAGTGAATATATTTTTATATTTGAGTGCAGTAATACGACATATTAGAATTGGAAAATAAAGTATTCTTATCAAAGAACAACACAAATAATTAGTCCAAGAAAATTATAAGTAATTTACCGGACTCAAACTTTAACTAAATCATCGAAGTTTTCTCATTTAGGCTAATCATCCAAACACCACTGTCGCTATCTCGTAAAAATAAAGTCAGTTTATAACTGTGATCAGTCTGTTGCAAGAACTTGTGATATATATATGATACAGATCCTTCATGTAACGCCTTATTGCAAAATGAACATCAGCTCAGCCCAAAATTGATAAGATTGGAAATATTTAAACTTAATATAGTTAATAAAGGGATCTTCTACAGACTTTAATGTGAAACATCATTAATACTAAATTTCTCTAAGGTAACTTTTCCTATCACAATATACACCATTTCAAGAAATAATATATAATAAGGAGCACTAAACATTTATTTCATTCTATATTTAGGAAGAAGTTTTCAATATTATACTTCTATAGGAAGTCTGATCCAAAATGTTCAGACCTATAGTCCTTGACATTGTCAGAAGTCATTATAGTTCACTTTCGTGGAATTCCAGTCTAGGGAGAAACAGTTGTCTAGTGTCACCTGATTTTCTGTAGGTAATATGTGTTCATAGAAGATATTTCCACATCTAACAGGATTTACAAGGATCTATTCCCAATTTTTTAAAGCTGTTTGATTAGTATGAAGATTACTATGAACGGATCTAAGAAATGTTTAATTTTCAGTATGTGCTATTTAGTTTCGTACCTTACCGTAGTCACACATTTTTATCGGCAGTCATCCGATAACCAACAATATGTCTGAAATTAAACAATCGATTAAAATAGTCTTAACAAATTATACAGTATGATTAATCAATCTAATCTCAACTATCATTCTTAGACTTAAATTAATTGATACATTTTGATATAAATATACTGCTACTTGTCATTTGACAATTGCAAATTTTTGATTTTATTTAACTTATGAAAATCAGTACCTAATTAGAGGCTTACGAAATCAACATTGAGTCATAATTTTAATAATGTTAACTAGCAGTCCCCATATCTATCTATTTAAATTAATGAATTGTTATTCAAACCTGTCATTACAACAAATGATTCACTATATCCAAGTATTCTTTTGATAAATCGATAAAGTGAGAATTAAAAAAAATAGGTGAAACCTTCAGATTATATCTACTTGATACTATTTATCTTTTTGATTAGCTGATTGCTTAATTGTGTTAATAGTGCAATACATTTTAATTTTAACTTAAAAAAATATATGTTGAACATAAAATGTACCTATTTATCTTTGTGAAAGGACTATAACGTAGAGCGATGTTAAAATACAGAAAAATACGAGAGGAGACATACTCAGTAAAACTTTTGTAACTCATTCACTGTTTTTTCTGATTCCTATTAATACCATCTACATTGTTTATTAAATAGAATTACGTGAATGTTTTGTATTGTCATGATAAAGATAGTATTAATTTATCAATCTTTTGTGGAACATAAACTTGGAATCTTGAAGGGAAACAGAAAAGAGGAAGGCCAAAAAACACATTACGTTGGGAAATAGAAGCAGATATGAAAAGGATGAATGACAACTGGAAAGATCTGGAAAGGATTGCCCAGGACAGGGTTGGATGGCGAGTGCTGGTGGGCGGCCTATGCTTCTCTACGAGGTGTAACAGGCGTAAGTAAGTAGTGAAACATAAACAATATTTGAAAAAGAATGAATAAATAAATATAGTACAAATCTATCCTGATTGAAAATAATCTCTAAAAATGAATGTTTATTATAATAGAGAAAATTGTAATGACTGTAATGCATTGTAATAGACAAGTATTAGATAACAAGATAAATATATGTTTAATCTATATTATCCATACTCACAATACTTAACTGATATGAGAATTAAAGATGAAAAGTTGGGATTGCATGCAGTTTAACATTGCTTTTGTTATATAACAATGAATAAATTTATCATTTTCATTAGTTCATTCTCTTCAATAACTTATAATAATATTCACGATGTAAATAGAAAGGATTTTTTCAGAAAAAAATCATTAAGACCACATTCTTGAGTTAAACAACTTACTTTCTCATAGATAAAATGAAAATTTTATCGTATATGAAATAAATAGCTGGAAAAATGATGACTTAATACTAACGTACAAACCCGTTCACTTCTAAAACGAACATACAGAATGTGTCTTACTGTTATGTCAATATCTCAAATAGTATGTAGTTTGTATTTTTAATTTTATGGGTGAAAAGATTCATACTATGAACTAACAGAACAAGTAACTTTGGTTATTTTTGTTATTTCAAATAACTGCGTGTAAAATCAATACAAATAGGTGAGTGATGAAGAAAATCAGCAATGTGTCATAAAGCCCTGACTGGTTATTATTTCATATTTCCATATAGTCATTATCATAATATATCCGACACCCAAAGCTTATACTTTTTACTGCTACTGCACTAGACGGCTGTTTCATCCCGGTATGAGGTCTCTCAGTGATGCGGTCCATGACTTTATTAGATATCGCACACAAGACCTTGAAGCCTCATGGTGACCTATTAACCTTCAGACCACTGATATGGCATATGATGGTATTGCGTGATCATTTTCCATTACCTTCGGTGGATAGATGCCTCATAACTGACATGGTCAAACTTGAATAATGCTTCTCCTCAAAATCAAAATTACGTTATTCACCTCTAAAGTTACAGTCATTAATAACAAGGTGTCCGGTCAATGATTTTATTTGTATAGAATTGAATAGTTCCAGTAGTCTTACCTTTTGTTAATCAGTATTGACTGACCAATCGATAATTCAATGAACTTTAATCGACACACTCAGAAACTTCAACATGAGAAGCATTCACAATTCATTTCAATCATCTTCCACAACTAAAACATTAATAAAAAGTCTATCAACTATGCCAAAATGTATTGACATCTTAGTTTTACCTTCCACCAGTGTCTATTTTTAAAGTGTCTCAAACTAAAGTAAAAACATATTTTCAGTGTTTCTAGATAACCAGTAGTTTTCTAGTTCCTGCTACATCATCTAACGAACACTAGCTTCAAAATAAATTTTTTTTACAAACCCTCTAATAAATTAAAAAGATTATTAATTTGGATATAGAATTGTAGAGCCTGAAGATAATTTGATGAAAAGAATGTTCTTCGTTCATAAATCTGTGTTTAGTAAAAAATTATGGACAAAAGCAAAATAAAATAGCATGTTGATTGAAGCAGTATTGAATTCAAATAAAGTGAATCAAAACCTACCTTCATTCTCATTTTGAATCTGTACACCATTTAATTTTGGATTATTATTTTTATCCCAATGATTAGTTAGAATAAAATTATCTGTTCGTCTGAAAGGTGTAACATCTTCTCGATCACTTTCAGATGAACTTGACTGAGATTGATCTGTTAAACAATGAAGAACAATTATTCGATAATAATAAAATCAAACTATCTATTCTGAATTAAAGGTCAATTTTCAGATTGCAGTTAAGATATTCATTCTTCTGATGCTCTGGGTAAAAACAATAACTGTGTCACATTTATATTTTATAAAAATGACATATGATTATATAAGCATTATACATGCAGTAATTGGTATAAATATCATTTCGGTAACATGTACTTTAGCTATGAGACACGTTTTCTGTCTGAGAATTAATGACACAAACGGAATGTTAAATGAGAACTGAGTAGCGCATGATTTGAATCTAGCAACGCATTTGTTTTATCAGCTTCCTGTGGTGAAACAGTTTTGAAATATACAACTACACATTAAGACTTAAGAAGAATGCTCAATACTCTTTTGTACAGCTGAATAATACAAACTTATCATTCTATTCATGTTAGCTTAAAGAAATCGTCAATCGATTTTTCCATCTTAATCTTTCACCTTGATTTGATTCAGTAATTTAGATTACAGACCTATTAAAAGGGTTATTGTTAGTGAAAATGATTACTTCACATAAAGATTGATTAAAGAAACAATTAAGTGATTGAAAAAATTCTTTTACCACAGAATTTAACTGAAATAAATAAACCAAGTGTCTTTCTTTAATTTCAACTTCACTTAAACATGCTACGATTTTAAGATCAACTAGCATTCTTTTCACGAAGAAGCATATAACATTATAGAAAAGATAAAATGACGACCGATTCATCTTTCCTTACAAAAGATCACTTTACTTTATAATACAGGATTATTTCGATTTTAATTTAACGCCTACATATGGTTGATAAAAAGACAATACTATAAAAGCATTGGGAAAAATATTTGCTTGTCGTTCTTGAGAATATTTTAACTAACAACAGTGAATCTGTCTATTCAGCATCCTTTCTTACAGTAAATCAACCTGTAGGCATAAAACTGATGCTTAACGTCGAAAATTCCGCCATTCTTCAATGTTGATCTGTCTAAAGATATTACCAATCAGTTCAAAAGTTCACTTTTTTGGGAATTCGATGTTTCTTATCAAACAACTGATATATACCAGGTGATTAACAATTAAACAATAATCAGTATAGAGTTGTGGAGATTGTTGAGCTTTTGATTGAGATACTGAATCGATCAATATTAGTTCACTAATGAAAACCTAGAAGCACTGAGCAGCCGTTTTGTCCTAGTATGGGACTCAGCAGCGCACATCCACGATCTCGCACGCCAATGCTTAACCTCTAGACCACTGGGCTGGCATCCAACGATGTTAATGTCTAACTTTAACCAATCCATGATATTGCGCGACCGCCGAGGAGTCCTACCCTATAACGAAACGGCAGTCCAGTGCTTCCAGATTTTCAAAGGTGGTCTAACATTGATCCATTCATTATTTCAATCGGAACTAAACAATCGTATAATTTTCTTTTTTTATTAAAATAACACATAGAAAAATGTTTAACATGAGATTCGTGCACAGATACTGAATAGACGCAAGAACATTACTCACTGAAATCGTTGTTGTTTGTATTTTTTACAATATTTTTCGAATTATCGGATTGTGATTGAGAGTTTGAGTGTGAATGATGGTTTTTGTATGGTTGTTTAAGTGTAAAAGCATTTGAGTTCCTAGGAGAGAAATGAGAACAAGAGATAATAAGTAAACACGCTGAATTATTGTGACCATTATTCAAAGATACTATCATGTTTTGACCATTGTAGCGAAACTATAGCCTGTAAATTACATATCGATTACTAAGAGAGTAAAGTAGGAAAAAGTATTTTGCGCATATTTTACAAATGTACTTCATTTATGTGATGGTGATACTTCGTAATTACTTACTCCTGTTACCCCTAGTGTACTATAGGCTACCAACCAGGAAGAATTCCATGGAAGGCAAATATGAGTAGAAATTAGGTACTGTCTTTGGTAGAAATAAGTCTAAGAATTATAAATTTTATCAAATTTACAAAAGAAGGAGGAAAATAAGTTATTTTGAGTTTAATAATGACAAGCAAACTGGATTTGCATACTTAACTCTGTTTACCTTACCAACTGGATGGATGATAGATTTTTACAATTCGAGACATTATATATCTGATAAAAGTTTGATATCTATTTAAATAGCTTTAGAAAAAGTGTATACAACTAAAATCATATTAAATTTTTATATTCAGCTACAATTTATTGATGTTTTGAGAGAAACTAAGGAGTTCTCACCGGTTTTAGCATTGATTTATTTAACTTGATTTAAACTGAAGAAAAAAAAATTAACAAATCAAGTTGATTTTAACCTCAATTAATAAAATTAATCGATTATGTATGTGTAAGACATACCATAAAGAGAAAATTATTTTAGAATATAAGATTTCCTCTGTTACGTTTAAGAAGTCACTGTTATAATTTCTCATTTGTGCCAAAAATTATATCTGGTCAACCGGTGATAACACATAGATTATTTCATCGCAAAGCCATGAAACAATTCAATTCACCAAGATGGAGAACGGTATGATATGTTAATGTATCCTAAGATGACCTGATTCCAACTGATTAAGATTTGCTAATAACATACATTTATGTAATCATCACAATTCATTTACAGTTTCTTTCTATGATACATAAACTGAAAGTATAATAATAATAATAATCTTATTCTAAAATAGTGAATAAATGGGTCGTTTTCCATAGTCAGTAGAAATCTTATGTAAAATTAATACGTGGAACAACTAACGTTTCTGAATTTATTACTCTGTATTCTCTTAACCAAAGTGACAGACACATATGAATTCAATGGTAACATGATCTCAATGTATGAAGTTATTTTATAGTTAGTTATAATTTTAACTCCATAGATAAATAATCGCAATGTGTGATTTTAGAAATTGTAACTGCCTTATATGTAATGTGTTTTTTAAAATTTATAATTGGTAATTATAAAAAAACGTAAATGTGATTCATTTTTTTTTAAATTAAGGAATTCACATACCAAGTTTCTTGATCAACAAAATCAGGATTAACATTGTGATTAGTGACATTTCCTGTAGATGATTTAATCCAGAAGAAAAAATCCAATCGCATTCAGTAAAAATAGCATAGTTGAAGTTAAAAACAAAAACAAACAAATAAACAAAATAATGTAGTAGTTAAATCATTGGACGAAATAGGAAGTAAATAGATTCCTATTCTATTTATAAGAGTAAGAAGAAAATTGGTTACAATATGAAAAATGAAAATCAGAGCAGTCAATAATTTTTAACTACTTGCTTAGATTAAAATAGAAGGGAATAAACAAAAACTGCCATAACAATCAAACAAGGAAATGAATCGAATATAATCTTGAAAAAATTGTAACTAGAGCAAAATGTCATTCGAACAATTGTAAATTATGTTAAAGAAATCATAAAACAAGTATAATTACTTTGGAGGAATGTGAAATACATGATCCCATTCCTCGTTAATGGAAATTTACTTACTTACGTCTGTTACCACTCGTGAAGGAGCATAGGCCGCTCAACAGCATTTTCCATACAAATCTGTCCCGGGTAATCATTACCAGTTGTTTCCGGTGGTTATTCATCTTCTCGATGTCCACATCCAATTCTCGACGTACTGTATTCTTTTGTCTTCCCCTTTTCCGTTTCCCTTCAGAATTCCAAGTTAAGGCTTGCATCGTGACGCAGTTTCATGATTCTCGCAATGTATGTTTCATCCACTTCTAACGTTTTTTCCTAATTTCCTCTTCAGACAAAGCTGGTTTGTTCTCTCCCACAGTAGGCTCTTGCTGATGGTATCCAGCCAACTGACATTCAGTACCTTGTGTACACAATTGTTTATAAATACTCCTACTGTGGTGTGTGCTACTTATATTGATATAAGTATTATATGTCGCGAGTTAAAACGTAATATCTGGCAGCAGAAGATGAGAGGAAGATCAAGAAAAGAAGAGCTAAAACACAATGTAATTTGTTAGAAAACGCATGAGCAATGGAATGGGAGACAAAGGATAGATATTTGCAACAGAAACAGTCCAGTTTGATATGATGCATTAATGTTTTGCAAATTGACGATTTACTATATGGTATTCAGGTTTTATTGAGATAGTCTGTAATTTTTTTGCTAAATACATTCGATTGTCCACACCCGTGTTCTTGTTCACTACATGACCTTCTTGAGGGTGGTTGTGGCAGTTCTCCAAGTTTCAGCCCCATGCTGTAGGACTGTCTTGACGTTCGTAATGAAGATTCTGACTTTATTGTGGGTTGACAGTTGTTTTCAGTTCCATATGTTCATCAACTGTGGTAATGCTGTCCTTGCTTTGCCAATACTTGCCTCCACATCTGCACTATATTCTCCTTGTTCATCAATGATGCTGACAAGGTACGCAAACGTTTCCACATCTTCCAGACTTTCTCCATCAACTGTGATTGGTCTGGTTGGTGTTCTCTGTATTGTATTTGAAGATGCTTCTTTTCTCTTATGTATGTTGAGACCCACCAATTCCAAGTTTGCTGTTACACTGTTTGTCTTGACCTGCATTTGTTGGTGTGTGTGTGTGTGAGTGTAAGAGAGATAGAAGAGCCAGGTCATCTGCAAAGTTCAAATCATTTAGCTGTATTTAGACTGTCCATTGTATTCCGTGTTTCCGCTCAGTTGTGGAGGTCTTCATAATCCAGTCAACGACCAGAAGGAATAGAAAGAGTGCAAGTAGTCAGCCTTGTCTGACATCGATCTTTATTTAAAATGGGTATGTTAGCTGTCCTGCATGCACAACTTTGCACTCAAGTCCGTAGTATGAATTTCGGATGATGCTGATGATCTACTCAGGTACGCCATAGTGTCGATGATGTTTCCATAATGTTCTCCTATGCACACTGTCAAACAGTTTTTCACAATGAACAGTGAATAAAGTTTAATTATAAATACATCAGTTGTAAACAATTACACTTTTGCACACCATACTACAAAAATGAATGCTTTTATCATGACAGATCAAATGACTAAATAACATGTTGTAAATTGTAGATAAATCAATAGATGTGGAGTTCCATAGTCAGATTAAAAATTAAAATAATTCTGTCACTCTAAAGTACATTTTTTATGAACACCCAGATGAAAGATAAAACATAAATTATACCTCATCATAAATAAAATACTTTCGAAATATATTTAAGGACTCCAGAACAGAAAACATAAAAAAGATTGATTTATTTGCTGCGTAACAATATTAATATATGTTTATGTCTTCTGGTTGATTGGAGGTATGCTTATCAATAAAAATAACATTCATCAGAACAGAATTTATTTGAGATAGCTAAAATTGATCAGATAGTAGCCTTAGATCTACAATTCAATCTAGCTGTTACTCATAAATAAAGTTTATCTCTAATGCATAGAAGGTAGCTGCTTGTATACAGATTTGAATCACTTTATATTTTGTGGAATATTTAAACTCACATAAATATAATGTTTGCTGGAGTGTTGTGATAAAAGATAATGTATTTGAAGCTTATTACCCAGGTTGAAATACATATAAACATAATACAGAGGATGTAAAACTATCCAAGGAACTGGTCACTGATTACCTTGTTATTTTTATTTCTGAAATTTATATTTGTTTTTCGCCCCAAAACATCCTATGAGAGCTATCTTTTCGTTTTACGACATTTAAAGACACTATTTTGTTTATTAATCCGTGACTTTCAGTATAATCGAATTCTCCTGTTTTTAGGGCCACTATATTTGTATTTATATACTTATTACTCACCCAAATTATATTTTTTCAGTCTCTCCTAATAAATCCTTCTTGTAAGATATGAACTTTTGGAGTAGCCTGAGCTGCAAGAAAAGAGGGAGTAGTAGTATCCAGTTATCAAGGCGAAATTAAGATTTATTCCAATTAATTCAAGATTCAGCATCTAATCACATCTAAATTAGTCAGATAATGATAAATTGTATTGATATTCATTTTTAGTGCACGAATATGATGGTGCCAATGGTAAATTGAGCATAACAAGTAACTTGTTAAATAACATTCATTTACCACAGAAACTATATTCAAACAACAATTTATTTTCTTAATAGATGTATATTACATTTACTACAATTGAGCGATTGTATGTTTAACAGTTTACAATAAAAATTAAGGCTAGATAATTTCATTACTTACCAAATTCATTGCGTGACACTCTAACTTTTAAAGCAGCCATTTCAAAGCATGCTGGAATGGCTCGATTATCAGGTTCAACGAATTTTGATTGACGTGAAATATTACCGGAATTTCGTTGTGCTTCTCGTTGATTCATTGATTCTTCATGACTTTTATTTGTTTGTATTTTTGAATCTGGATCAATGTTGTCATGGTCTGAATCTATAGATAATAGATTTTTAAAAGGGAATATAAGTAAACATTTTAAAAAAACGATGTTTGCGAAGATTGAAATTCGCAAAACAGATAGCGAAATTTGTTACTTTCAAAAGTTATACATAATAAAGTCGATCTTATTTCAGCATGATATAAACGAGTTATTTTTTGACTGAATAATCAAGTCATCTATTATTTCATCTCCCGAGCACTATTTAATAAAGACTGAAGGTCGATTCAAGGTGGCTACCATTATTAATGTTTTACAGCACTTCCATTTCCTTTTTTGATTTGATTGCTTGTGTCAAGCGTAGTATATTCTGTGGATCAAACATGTTGATGCTCAGAAAACTACCATTGCATAATTTATTTCTCGGCGTTAGCTTAGTTCATTCGTCACCTCTTAAAATAAATCTTGCAAATAGCATTTTACTGAAACATATAGAATTGGTATGAGCTATGTAACCAATGGTTAGCTTGGAGTGTGTGCTACTTATAATAACATAAGTAGTATATGATGTTAGTCGTGAACAGATGGTCTGGAAGCAGAGAGACAAGAGGATCGAACAGTAAAGAATGGAAACAGGATGCAATGTGTATGAAAATGCAAGAACAATGACGTCTGAGTCATTTTGACACAACCGATGGACATTTTGCAAATTAAGCCTTTACTTTATGATTGTTAGATTTTATTAACAAGTCCTGTAATTTTCTGTTAAATATATTCAATTGTCCCCACCATGCTTCTTTTCACTACAAGCTTACTCATTAAAACCAAAAACAGGGAAAATATATCATAATGCCTTGATTTAACATTTGAAGTACCAATAATAAGCCGAAAATCAAAGAAACATATTAGTAAATTTCTATAATATGTAACTATCTGGTCAATTTAACTAGTACATAACTATTATAAAACCTTTGAATGAGAAATTCACCCATAAACTATAATAGTGAATAAAATTTAGTACACACTTGTAGTGAACAAAGACGCTACACCACACACTAACTTTGAAATGAATGTTGACGAACTATATATATATATATATATATATATATATATATATATATATATATATATATAAAAAGGTTGATGGACTTATGAATTATATTTGCTAAAGAAGTATAGAGAATAAAGAGATCAACTTTTGGATAATTACTTACTATTACAACCTAATAAAAATTACAACGTATAGTTATGTTAAGAATTTTCTTCTAAAAAAAAACAATTTAATATTATTGCCAGTTTCTTCAAACATTGATTCTGTGATGAATTTATTGTTTAATAAGATGTTACATCGAATGTTTTAATTTTCGAGTATATTTATTACTAACTCTTTACTCAATGCTCAATTTATTTGAAACTATCAAGTACAACCTTAAGATTGACAACTATATTATTTATATTACTATTATTAGTATAAATATTTTTTATTAGAAGTTAATATTTTTGATCGGTTAGCAAATAGTAGTATCAAATTTCGAAATCAGCTGAAGCGATTTTGAATGACATAGTGGTTGCACATAGTTATGTTATTTTATCAAGGAATAATGATGGACTCGACAGATTCATTGTTGTCAGTATGAATAATACTCAACTAAACAGTTGTATAGATCAGTAAACTTGAGTTCTTTACAGCCAATTGTTTTTGGTGATTGCAAAAGTTATAGGACTTAAACAATAATAGCTTGTCAAAAAGTTCACTAAATCAGTAGAAGTCCCATCATTCACTGAAATTATTAGTCAAAAATAAGGTTAATTTTTGATTATATTAAAGTTTCAACAGGCGACCCTCAGTTAAATGTCTAATTATTAAAATAAATTTGAACTAATGAAAATTTTTAACATGATACTAGGCTTTTACAATTTATAAAAAAATAGTAGATCTATGTGCTATGTCAATTCTAACAAAGTGGTAGAAAAATTAACATCAAACTTGTAGTTACTTAAAGAATCCTTTTTTTATACACCTCAGTGATGCTTCATGATGCATGCTGCTTGTCCTTGATATAGCGAAAACACCAAAGTCCTGTATAAATTTAAAAGCTGGAATGTTTCATTACACTAGTTTAAGCCATGAACCATAAAATGTGTACATATGCAAACTTCCTAAGTTTAAGGCTTATTAAACGATCAACTGTTTCTTTATTCCAGATTCCATTCAATGAATAGGACTTGATCATAAAATAATTCGGTATACTATTGTTCGTCGTACGGTAAGAACAGCGAAACAGTAATGACTGAAGTATATGATCTAGCTTTAATTAATTGATAATAAGAAGAGTTTAATCGTGAAATAAAAGCGAACAATGTTTTTTTCATTAATGAAGTTTTATTACTCATTAGTAGCGTAAATGCAAACACAAGTCTTCAAATCGATGTATGTTGACCGTTACGTGTATTCTATCCAAAAATTTGTTCATTTAGCGTGAAAAGAAAATGCTGCATATTAGAACTTTTAATATGAGATATCATCCAGTTTCCTTTTCTTTTCAACCTAATCTCTTACCTAAGACATACATATGTATTAATTTTCTTATTTCATCGATAGTTACAATGAGAAACTGCACTATATAAAATATTTTCAAGTATTTAAAAAAAACCTTAAAAATCACTTAAATGAATTTTCATTTCGATTTATTACAAAATAAAACATAAATTTTGTAACAGAATGAAATTCAATTGATAAATTTCTGATAATAACTGCAGTTTTTCAGCTGAAAAAAATGTTGTGATTATTATTAACTTGGAATCAAACGGTTAAATGTTTGTCTAACTTTCATATTATAATTTCTCGTTCTAACTAGTAATGAATATAGACTCTTGGTATTTATTTTAGCCCTGTCGGAATAACTGTTTGGTTTAGTAACTAAAAAAGGTATATATATATATTTGAATTTCTAGTAAATACATAACAAAATGTAAATATGTCAAGTCAATTTATTGAGTATTCATAACATCAGTGAGATGGTACAATTTATTTTGTAAAGTATATATTTCAGTTTATACAATTAGTAAAGAAAACGTAATAAAAGACTAGTGACATAACATAAATAACACAAGCAAATTATATTTGATAAGTAGTCATAACATAATGTAAAAAATCATTTTCAGAAATAATATCAAAGTAAATAAAGAAATGAAATTTAATTACCCATAATTGATTTTTCTTCAAATGCTCCAGGTAGTTGAAAAGTAACAGCTCTAGATTTAGTTGGTTTGAGAACTTCATTAAAAAATTTGGAACTTGAACCATCTTCTATAAAATTTCGTTTATCATGATTGATAATACTATTATCATTGTTTAAAAGAAGTTCACAACTTTCGGGATAATATTTTTTACTTTTTTGTTGAAGACAAAAAGAATCAGGATCTTGTTCCGTATTATTGTTTGAGCTAAGAAGACAAGATTTTTGCTTGTTAGTTTCGTTAGTAATAAATGTTGTGCGTACCATATCAGATAGACTTGGATGAGATAATGACCGGGTTAATTCTGACGCACAAACAATAACTTTATCTCCAGTAGAACAAGCAGCAATAGATTGAATAGATCTAGGTGAACTTGATTCAGATAAAGTAGGTGAAGCTGCTGATGAAGAAGTCATTGGTGAGAAAATAGTTTTTAAACATTCATTTTCTTGACTAAGATCATCATCTTCAAGTTCATCTAGAGATTTTCGAGGTGCACAGATAAGTCCCAAAGCAAATACTAATATTAAAGGGATTAATCCTAATGCTGATAAAAACAAAATTTGAGAAAATTACTTACAAAATTATAAGTAGATTATTGTCTGGTTTAATAAGATAAATTGTTAATGATTGGAAACTATTTAGAAAAAAATAAAATATTATGATGAAATTGTCATCATTACTAAACTATGTATATTCATTTCAAGATAGTCTTTTTTCCAGATGTTTCACCGTATGAAGATGAAATAAAACTACTGATTGAAATTTATGCAAGAGATGCTAATTTATTTTCTAATATACCATTTCATGATATATATATACATAAATTACCATGACAGAATAAGTTAATACATAAGAAAGTAAATCAGTCTATAATCAACATAATCAGCATATATTTTCCTTATTTATCTTCATGATGAATATTCAAGCCTTTAACAATAAAACTATTATTAACTTCCCTGATAAAAAGATAATGTATTTTATGCCTTTGTTCGATCTACCTCACTATTATCATGTTTAATAGAATCTTATTATCACTATTATTGTAATTATTAGCATCCTGAAAAATAAGTATATATATGTATGAGATTGTACAGCTTTGAAAATGAATTCGCGGAAAAGAGATCCCTTCGCTGAATCAATTTTTCTTATTTTATGTCTCAGTGGGTATATTCCGTTTACTTTTTACTAGCCATCAAACTTTATTTCAAATTTATTTAAATATTACAAAATCATTATCCGTCTTAACATGTTTCTAAGTGTAAACATTTTGGAACAATCCAAGACAGTAAAAATGATGATGAGTACACAAATTTATTTATTTCTAATTACAGGGAAAAACAGCTAGTTTTAACTAAGAAAAAAGCTAGTTCGAAAATATAGTAAACCAGAGCAAACAACCAAGAACGAAGAGGGCAAACCAATCACTGAAAATTGGTAATGGTGGAACAGAGGGGTACAGCACCTATAAATATCTGCATTAATGCTCCTCGTTCTCTAAAGAACGATTCAGGAGGAAGGACAAGTACCGAGAAATTGGAAAGAAGGACACTTCATCAAGTTACAAAAGTAAGGAGATCTCAGCAAGTAATAAATCTACAGATGCATCACACTACTGTCAATATAATAAAAAGTTTTCAACGGTATTGTTGGATTGAAATAAAAGTTCAGTATACTCTCAACTTCGACATCAACAAACCAGCTTTAGTAATGATAGCTTATGTACCGAAAAAATGCCACACTACAGATACTTGTTGAACAATCAATCGAAGAGAACTCATCACCGTATATCAGGTACCTTGAATATAAGAAAGCATTTGAAAGAGCGTTTAGGATATGGTGACCTTATGGTTCACTCCTTGACAATACACAGTACTTGGAAAGATAGCCACCAACATACGAAACTCGTACAACGGACTGAATTAAAAAGTCGCTAATGGAGGACAGCTAACATACCCATTTTAAATAAAGATCGATGTCAGACAAGGCTGACTACTTGCACTCTTTCTATTCCTTCTGGTCGTTGACTGGATTATGAAGACCTCCACAACTGAGCGGAAACACGGAATACAATGGACAGTCTAAATACAGCTAAATGATTTGAACTTTGCAGATGACCTGGCTCTTCTATCTCTCTTACACTCACACACACACACACCAACAAATGCAGGTCAAGACAAACAGTGTAACAGCAAACTTGGAATTGGTGGGTCTCAACATACATAAGAGAAAAGAAGCATCTTCAAATACAATACAGAGAACACCAACCAGACCAATCACAGTTGATGGAGAAAGTCTGGAAGATGTGGAAACGTTTGCGTACCTGGTCAGCATCATTGATGAACAAGGAGAATATAGTGCAGATGTGGAGGCAAGTATTGGCAAAGCAAGGACGGCATTACCACAGTTGATGAACATATGGAACTGAAAACAACTGCCAACCCACAATAAAGTCAGAATCTTCATTACGAACGTCAAGACAGTTCTACAGTATGGAGCTGAAACTTGGAGAACTACCACAATCACCATTAAGAAGGTAGGAGTATTTATAAACAATTGTGTACACAAGGTACTGAATGTCGGTTGGCTGGATACCATCAGCAAGAACCTACTGTGGGAGAGAACAAACCAGCTTCGTCCGAAAAGCAAATCAGGACAAATACACTGGAGGTCAATGGTACAGACATCGTGAACATCATCGAACTTCATCACTAATCCAGCCCCGATTCGGAGTTCTGAAAGGAAAAGGAAAAGAGGAACACCCAACAACACGTTGCACCAGGAACTGGAAACAGGTAGGTGAAGAATTATTAGAAACTGGCAACAACTGGATTGAAGTGAATATGACAGAGTAGGTTGGATAATCCTGGTCGGCAGCCTGTGCTCCACGAGGGGTAACAACCCTAGGTATGTGAAGAAATTCTTAAAATAGTCTTTGTCAAAATAGAAAGAAATTAGAATCAACATCATTTTAAATTCCATGGTTTTACTTTTGATTCCCCATCATTGCATTTATTATTAAATATAGTATTAAATGGATCGATTAGCACGGAATAACATTAAGTACATTTGTTCAAAATGTTTCATCTTTCCAGATATTCTGGTCATCTGTATTTTTAAACTAAATACTGGGATGAACTGGTAAGCTAATCATATCACAAATTTAATTTGAAATGAATTGGACTATCCAAATGTTATTTTTGACTGGAATTTAATCAATCTTGGTTGGCATTTGCGCAATATATGATAATTGCCTCAATATAGCCATTATGACACAAGTTGTTATAAAATAGAAGAAATGTGGTTAGCAGTGGATTCCAGGACGCCTGTCTTATCTCGCTTGGGACTTATCAGCTGGATGTCCCTACATCTCAGATAAAATGGAAATAGGACGAAACACATATTCTCGATTCTACTGTTAGTCACATCCCATCTATTCTAAAAATATTACAAACTGCTTTGTGAAATATATGCATCGTCGCAACTAGTAATATTAGGAAAAAAGAGAATTGAATTGTGTACTAAAGATAATATTATTTTGCGTATAAAAGGGTGCCCTTTCATGTTTATGTGGATGCAAAAGATAATTAGGTGGTGTTCACTTTCACTAGATTTTGGTACATTGCATTTCATGAATTTCCTTTTTTTTAAAAAAAAAAGTGGACCACACAAAAAGAACTCAGTCTATACAATATATTAGTGAAACACAATAGTTTTAGTAATGAATAGAAATCATCGACAGAGAACGTGTAAAACAGGTTAATTTCACTATTTTCTTGAGATTGCTAACAAATAAGTATTTCAATATTTGAAAGTATGAGTCAATTGAAGCTAGACAATCATGAAAAACCTGAAAGCACTGGACGGCCGTTTCGTCCTAGTATGGGGTTCCTCAGCAGTGGAGTTCAACCAGGTCTGTTGTGAGATATCAACTCACTGAAGACAATGGTGTACGGTGGCGCTACTTCGTGGATTGGTTGAAGTTAGACATTAACACCGTTGGATGCCGGCCGGCTCAGTGGTCTAATGGTTAAGCGCTCGGTCGCGAGACTGATAGGCCCTGGGTTCGAATCTCGCAGGGAGCGGGATCGTGGATGCGCACTGCTGAGGAGTCCCATACTAGGACAAAACGGCCGTCCAGTGCTTCCAGGTTTTCCATGGCGGTCAGGCTTCCATTGGCTCATGATTCCAACTATCGAAATTTCAAAAGAAAATTTACACAAAACCTTTTCTAAAAATAAATATTTTCTTACTTCTATAGTAATAGAAATACTTCATAATTGAATAATAAAAGAAGAAACAAACAATAATAATAAAGAATTTTGGTATAGGTCTACGAGAAAAGGTCAAATGAATAGATGAAGGTTAATGCTATGCTGTTGTATTATGATAAAACTCAATATATTATATTTATATTATAAAAAAATAAAGCATTAAAAAGAGGAAACAATAGTATTTCCTTTGCATTGATTTTAGCATAAATTAAATGAAGAGAAATAAACGGACGTATATAAATGCCTTTAATAAAAAAGTAACACTGCAAGCATCTTATTTATCTTAGAAATATAAGAAAATTCAATAAAGTTACTAATTCACTGTTGTATGAGACCAAATAGATGGATTCGAATAGAATCTTCTTAAATATAGGAGACAAAATTTTAATTAAGTTTAAGTGAAGATAGTTTAGAGGTCTTCAATATTTTTAGGAATTAGTTCAGAATAAAGAAAAAGTTTGAATTTATTATTTACAAAGTAGGTTGATCTAAAGATAAATTTTAAGAAAAACTAACAAATTAGTATAATAGTTAATAGCTGTTGGTTTCAATATAGAACTATTTATTTGTTTTTACCTAATAAGATAAAGTTGAGTGTCATGACTAGTATGATAATATATAACCACCCGAACGGTATCCAATTGTTACAGTTTCGATAGATGCAAAATACAAAATTAACATCAAAGTTCTTTTTCAGTGAAGTCAGACTCAGTTGGAAAAAAACGACATGAATGTGATAGTTCATCTTCGTTGGTATATTGGAGCACTATCTTTTAATAAAACTTCATAAAACAAATGCATTTTAAGCTTTTCCTCTCTACAATAGTCGAAAGATAATTAATTTTTGTCCTAACGTTAATACTTATCATTTGTCACAACAGTTATTTGTATATCAACAGTTTTCTGATTTAAAACTAAATAACTACAGGTTGTCTTATATTTATAGACTGTGAAGTGAGTATATTAACTATGCTTAAAAACAACGAAGTATATATCACCAAGAATATTGATAAAACCTGAAAGAATCGCATATTTCTGTTATAATAAAAACATCATCATATCACCAAATTTGTTTTTTCAAGCAACCTCATCTTACTATTCAGAAAATCATTTGTTTAGATTTAGTTTAAAAATGGTCATTATGATACATAATTTATTGAAATTTCAAAAATATCTCTTTGTTAACTTTCTAGGTAAAAATAAGAAAATTACAGAGAAATGAACGTATTTTTCAGAAACTGTTACTTTGAAAAAATCGTATAGACTATTAATATCAAACTAGTGAGTGAAGTAAAACAAATGATAATTAAATCCCTGTTAGTTTTCTTATTTTCTATTTCTCTTTATGGTTATGTTTAAGTGTTTTGTTTCTCTAATTTTCATGATTTTACTTTCATTATTATAAGTTATGTTCTTTAAAGGGTTGTTCATTTACAACAGTATGCTCAGAATAAATCCTATTTATTATACACATTTGTTAATGGTCTTAACTTATTGTGTTCTACTTTTTTTATTTAAATTTTATTGATTTTACACTTGTGAAAATGTTTCTCCTCTAATTATTCTTCATAATCCGCATGATTTTATTTATAGTTTCTTATATTAATCCCTCTAATGCCTCTGATTATTGTCACAAGAAAAATATTTTGCCTTACTCTCTTCACCCTGTTTTTTTTGTTTTTTGTACACATTATATAACAGTTACATGACCTTTTATTATTATTTATATTATATAACCTACTATAGAAATCTTTACACTGCATCGTCATATGTAATCATTTGTCCATATTTCTTTATTGAATTCATCCTTAAAATGATATATATTCGGCTGTACAGCTTGATCATGAATTAGTTGGAAAAAGATCGCTTCTCTGAATTTCGGTTTTTAATATTTAAAAGAAGAATTATAGATCGATAGGTTATTTTATAATAAGATTTTCGTATATTGTTCAATTGCCATTTTAAGTATTTAACAGATAATTTCTTCATTGTTATAACTTGTGGCCTTGTGATCCTATTATTATATAACGTGATGATACAGCCAATTAGAGAACAGTGATTATCGACCGGACCAATAACGTTTAAAACCCGTACGAGCAGTCTAGAGTCTTTATTGGTCCTGCTTCCTGCCTAGCGCTGCCTGTTAAGTCCAGAACACCAATCTCAGCCTCTGCGATATGAATAATTTATTTCAAACATACTGAGTATATTTACATACCAAACATACCACATCACTCAATAAAGTAGAAAATAACATTTTTACAAGATCTAGCCAAAGGTGGCTGTGAATGTGGAAGACTGTAATTAATAAACTGAGCGTAACTCAAGAACGGTAAATCGTATAATAATAGTCTATGGTCCAAAATAAAGCTTCTAATAAGAGGAACATGAATATGCATAGTTTGGTTACATAACGATTATATAATAAAAATATATGTATCGTATCGGTCCAGAAATAGTTCTCAAGAGTTACTATTCATAATTCTCGTCGGATATAACAATCATACAACCTTGTTTCAGTGATTAGAATTCAACTATTACATTTGTCATCTAAGGTACTAGTAGGGTTCACTTTAAGTGAAACTGTGGCTCATCTCGAATTCTTACGTATATCTTAATAATGAATACTCGTAAATATGAAATCAAGATCTGGGAATTTGTATGATGACTACTAAGAAGCACTTTACATGAATCTAATTATATTCCCATCTTGTTTTTACTTAATAACCAAACTATATCCTTAAAGTTAGATTATCGTTAAAGATGTTTGTTTTTGTTAAATATAATTACCTATTTGTTTTAAGGACACTCAAAGAAGGGTAAATGTTGAAATTTCATTCCGCTTTTTTAAAACTACATTAAAGTATTCTCATTATCAAAAACATTTACTTACCCGTCCACGGTAAGTATACTGACCAACTGTTCAAAGGACGTCTCGGTTGAACTGAAAAATAGAATTTTAAAAAATTGAAATTAATTTGCGCAAATATTAAACATACGGAACAATTTAGGCAACATGATCAGTTACTTCTATTAACACGTTCCAATAGGTATTAGAATGCGACAGTAATAAGGTAAACTGATATTTTTGGTTTGTTTAATTTTATGAACCATGATTTATTCAACGTTTTGATACTAGGATATTTTCAAAGTTTTGAATAAAGTGAAAAGAACATGATTCGAACAATCACATGATTCATTATATTTTGAGGCTTCACACTAGCCCCCAACGGTCTAAAGTTATGAATAGTTATACTGTTATGTATAAATTTTAAAGTACCCTATCAATGTAGATAAGCTTGAAATAATTTCACAGCTTGTTATAAATACAAAAAGGCTTGGTTTAGTAATAAGAATATCTCAAATTATGGTCGATAGATGTTTTTTCATATATCAATTTATAATCTTTGCATTAAAACATTTGAATGGTTATGTATTAGAGAACAGAAACATGTGATTGACAGTCAAGAGGATTTATGCAAAATTTCATATAGGTTTGATGATAGTTTTTCACAATGGAATATGATAAAAAACTCTTTGTCGGTACTAAAGTTAATAGTTATTATAACAAAAAGTACTATTTATTTTATGTTAAGAAGCTTATCTGCTACATTTCATAACTTAGAAGTCAAAAACTGTCCTAAGATTATCGTTTAGATTATTTAGAATAGATGAATTGTGGCTAGCAACAGTATTCAGGATCCGCGTTTCCTTCAATTTGGTGCATGTCAGTTGAGTTTTTACATGTTTTTCAGTGTTGATGTTCAGCCTGGTACTTGATTGGATTATTTTGATGCTTGGACAGCGGATATCATGAGTGGTTGGTTTTTAGTATTTATTTAAAGTATACAGGTTATAATGAATGCAGTTGGTAATCTTCAATTTCCCAAAGGATCCTACTAAAAGAAGTATCCCTCAAAGTTAATACTTCATGGGGAGTTAAAATTATTTAACTATGTATCATTCTAAAAATATTATCTTACCTACTTCTGAGTCACTTTTATTGCATATCAAATAATTTATAGCGTGTTAAAGGTCACACAGTCAAACGCATTCTTCTACAGTTTAACACTTGGTCAAAAATAAAACATGAGTGGTTACCTGGACTGTATTTCAATATACATGTGGATAATTATAATCACGATTCAAAAAATGTTTTTTACTCAGTTATTAAAATTAAAAACAAATCCACTTTAAATCTATATAGAAATTATATATTTATAATTTATATACAAGTAAACCTTGAACATTGTATAAAAAAAAAAGAAAAACCTCTGGGATTTATTTCTCTATAATAACAACTGCTATCTGCTTGTTTATACAAATTTTTAAGTTGTATAGCATATTATTCACTTTTTATTTTTTATTATCATATCTTAATGAATTAGTAGTCTCTGTAATCTTTAGTTACATACTTGATTTATTTTTACATCGAATGTTTAAAATTTCAGTGTTATTGTATGATTGTCTATAGTCTTTTTTATCTCAGTGTTTACACTGTATTCTGAATTGCATTCCATTTATAGAGACTCTCATTATTATTTCGTTGTTAATTTTCTTTACATTTTCATTTGCGTTTAAATAATCGTTCGTTGCGCAGTAATTAGTAAACTATTTAATCACTATACTCATTATTATGATTAAAAGATAAAGTCAAACAATAACCATTATTACGAGTAGTTTCTTAATTGAATAGCCTTTCGTTACAAATCGATGCTAATATTTCCAGTATATTTCTGACAAAAATTATGTTGTATTGAATTTGGCTTAAACCTTATCATTTTTTAGAATCAATCTTTAACAGAAATTATGAAAAAGGTTGTTTCAGTCAGAATACAGAATCGTTTCACATGCTGACCGATATATATATATATATATATATATATATATATATATATATATAACTGCTCAAGTTTATTGTTAAAAAAACATTTTATTTGTTTTCCACGATAAATATGACGCGTCAAACTTCTTTACCAATCATTCCATATACAATTTGAATTTAGGAACCCTATATAACTATTCATTCATCGGTACTTGAGTTTGTTATGAAGATAGAATGACTGACATGAGACGCGATTTCAGTAAGCATAAACATTAGCAAGTACCATGTACACCGAATCACAATAAATTTAATAGGAATTAGATAACAGTTCCTTAAAGAAAGGAAATTACATCATCCATGCACGCTATATTAATTGAGGTTTCATAATAAACAGATTTACAATAATATGTATTAAAATGACTGTTTAAACTGGTTTACGTATTGTCTAATATATTTAACCAAATTAAAACTTAGAAAACATTTATTTGGCAGTAAAAACCTAATTGTTTCTAATTTCAATAACCGTTCAATAGAAAAAGTAATATTGAATAAAGCCATTAATAATAATAATAAAATAATAATAAAAATAATTGTTCTCCAGTTTACATTAATATACTAATATAAAAAAGAAATTTTCGTAAATTACAGAGACAAGAACGTACCATATGTATAATTACGAACAGGTGGACAACCAATTTCATCAGTTCCCCCATCAAAGCAATCATCTGCTTGATCACAGCGCATTTGACCGTAAACACAAACAGCAGTTTGATTTCCACACCAAAATCCAGAGCCTACTTCACATCGACGCATTTCTAAGAATATAATATTACGGAAGCGGGAAGTTAATTGTTCGGAAAAAAAACAAAACAAAGAATTTATTTTAATTACATCGCTTTTTTCTTGCACATGTGTGCGCAACGCTAATCAACTAGGTCCAAAAAATCAAAGCTAATTTTTGAACAACATGGAAGGAAGGAAATGATACTTTTCAGTTTTCTCTCGTAATTATCAAAAGCTTATTATTTAATTCAGTTAGTAGTTAACTATAATAAACGATGGTCAGTTAATTTAGAATTGAAATTGTATCCTTGCAGAAACGAAGGACATTTTTCACGTTTTCTATGCATTTAGAAAATTAGAAGTCTGTCAGTTGGCAATTAAAACCACAAGGGATTTGAATAAGATGTGAAAATAAAACTTGATATGTGCATCATGAGTCATATCAGTACGCTCTAATAGTGTATCATGAGTACAGGAAGGCAAAAGACAAAGGAATTTGGTTTGCTGTGCTCTGGAGAAAGCCTGCCTTCCTAAGACTTAGCTTCAAGGGTGATGAAGTACCTGGAAAAATGGAATTCAGATTAGAAGCCATAATAAAAAGAACTTATCCAGCTACCTAGCTGATCCCCTGCATCAACTGAATTGCTCATTAAGACAGTCAGGTGCGGACAAACTTCCACCTTATGTTACCTCCAATCGTATCTACCATTTACTTGTACGTGCCAAAGCACGTACATCGGAAAAAGAGGAAGAAGGGTTGGTGTCCGAGTCACCGAGCACATTCCATAATAGCTTAGACTGAGAAGATAATATGTCTTCAGCAGTGCGACCACTCGCCATCTGCTTGATGGTCATGGTGTTGATGTTCCAATGTAGTTGAAGACAACTAATAGACAATGAACATCGAATTTACCACAGTTTACCGAAGCGATTATCATCGAAAGACTTAAATCAAATTAATATATCCAGAAAGATACAGTTATCAACATTGTCATGCCGTAGTGAACTCATTTGCAAATGTTTGTTACGCAATTCCTCTTTTCATGACGGTAATGATTAATTCTCGCTCTTTATCTGGTTTGTACTTAGTTTTGTTTTGAGAGTTACATTAATAAATTATTTCTGAATAATTGTGTTTCCATGTTCTTTGTTGTTTATTCTATAATACTCTTATCTTTAACCCATAAATACTAACATTAATTAACGTATGAGAACTTCTTATCGTTCTTACGTACTTGTTACTCTTTTCATTAGACTTCATTGATGAGAATACTATCGATGTTATGATATAATGTATACTGACTTTTAAAGATTAATACTATTACGTTTAAGTTGTAAGCAGATGATGGGAAACCGCGAAATATAGTGAATTCATAATATTCTGCTACATTAACTATTCTTCCTTTAATCAAATTGATAAATGGAAAAAATCGTATGAAACTTTTAAATTACGATTAATGCTCAAACAACAGCAAACAGTTTTCATCTTCATCCCAAACTACAAATCATCATTACCACAATATTAGTACATATCATTTCATGACATAAAACGTTATGAAATATCAATTGTTGCTACTTAAAAAAGCACTTTCCAAAGCGTTAAATATAGCAGTACGCATACTGAACAAGTGTAGAAAAGAAAAGCATGTTTCAAAAAAACATTTCATAAGACTCAAACAATGCAGCAAAATTTCGGCCAAGATTTAGTGTTTAGTAATTCTAATTTAACTTGATAGTAATTGATGCAGTCCTGTAATCAGTTTATGAAGTGCAACTTATATGAGTAATATTTTTTCAGAATTTAAATGTAGTTGTCATGATTTTACGCAGTTGCAAATAGTAGGAAAGATACTGCGGATTCATATTTCATGCTTGTTGGCACTCGTCATCAAGACACCTAGAATCTTGAGGGAACCGATGCTGCTTGCGGGATTTGAACCTAAATCACACAGATTCACAGTTCGAGACGTTACCAATGAACGATTCGGACTGCAAATGGTCTCCTTTAGGACTAATGTATTAAGAGTGATATATCACTGTATAGTGTCGATTCTCTCAAAATTGCATGTACGCCGTTCTGATGAGTTTTAATTAGCAGGAAACATAGGGCTAAGTTTTCCTGTCAACCACTTCACATCACCAGGTATCAAAACATAATGCGCGCGACGCCAATCTTACTCATTTGAATTTGACTAGTACCAAGAACTAAACAAACATAACATTGGTTACTACTCAGTTAATAATTAATGTATATAGTCGACATGTATAAGTGAAATCCTCAGTAATTTGCAACGAAATCAGAAAATTAGAGAAGACAACAAGAAACTTGCTTCTTTGTCTATTTTTGGAAAATCCTGAGATCTGACTACGATAGTGGACAAATAAAAACGAGGATTTTATAATACATTTGTTTCGAAATCAGCAAGCCAATTCATTTCATAAATTTTTCTTTTCTCCTACGTTTATACAGAGAACTTTGAAGAAGGCTTGATTCGGAAGTTTATATGTTTAGAACGTTAAATGTCTAAGACATTCATGTATTCATAAGTAATATGATTGTAGTTCTTTAAAAGTGTAAGTTGACAGGGCCACTAAATAATCATTTCAAAAATATGCTTCGTACAAGAATGATTTTGATGCTTTGGAATTTTTCACATCAATTAACAGACAGTTGAGAAAAGCAAAAACTTTCTGTCCAGTCTACAAACCTTAAATTTCAAAGTATCAATAACAATCTATTTTTTCATAAATACTAATCCCGAATCATTAGAAATTTAGATATTTTACTATTTCACAAAATTTATTTTGCTGATAAGTTTAGCTTCCTTCCGCCATCATTCAAAAATTACCACACTTATTCAATCTAGCTAATTTGATAAATACTGTTATATTTCTTCAGAAGCATCAGGAGGGTACTGGAAGTATGAGTTCAGTTATTTTACAACGAAGCCACAAAAGAACACTTAGCTTCAACAGTTGTTTCCTGCAAGTAAATGTTCCTTGACACCACGTTCTATAAAAATACCAAGTTAACGTGTTAGGGTAGCAATATAAATAAGAAGGCAAAGACTTGAAGCTTTCTACTGTGAAATAATATGATTAAATTAAAGTACTGCGCCTAACAAAAACCGCCAAAGTATACAGTTTTTTATTCTATGATTTCAATCTTTAGTTACATTATGAAACATTTTTGATTTGTGCTTCTGAATCAATTCGTTATTATTAAGACCGGTTCGGAATTATGTTTAAGTAAATGGGAATGTATAATGACACTATAAAAACATTCTCATCAAGATAATCATCAGACAGTTCTGACCTTGGTCTCTCTCTTTTTTACAACGGTCATATTATTGACGGTTTAGATAGACTGAAATAAGTTTCATAAACATCTATACCACCACCTCTTGTCTATCTACCAGTGGGTTTTTACATGAATGACATCGTCATCACAAAAATTCAAGAAAATAAGTCAGGAGTAAAGGTAATAACCACCATTAGAAGTCCCATACAGATTAGATTTATTACTTACTATCAGTAAGACTGAAAGTTCCTTCGAATCGCATGTATGCTGACATTTGAACATCTAGTTTAGATTTTACATCCTCAATTGAACCGGACTCTGTATGCCAAACCAATGACACAATACGATGCTTTGAATCGATGATTTGCGGAAATGTAAATGTACAGGTTAAATTTAACTCCTTTAATAAAACAATGGTTGAAAAAAAAGAATGTGTCCAGTTCATCAAGTCATTTGAAACTAAAGGTTTAATTTATGTAAGTGAATAAGTGCATAAAACAGTCCGTAAAACTAGTTAAAAAGAAAGAAAAGAACCACTTTAAATCTACTGATAATTAGTCAGTGTTTAATACTTTTGGGACGTCCGCGCATACCAAATTAAAATTGATCACTTTAACAAATTCGGTTATCTTGGAAAGATTATTAAGAACCTGCTACTTACTTTGTCAACCTCAATCAAACCTACCAGTTAAATGTGAAAACTTCCTTAATGACTATGATCATAATTAACTGTTTCTAGGTTTTTCGTGACTAATTTTATATTTTTATTGCCCACTGTCAATGGATTTGAATTAGAGTTGGATTGTTTTCCGCGTGATCAGAAAAAATATTAGATATCCACATTTTAGTTATAAATCTTCATTTGACCTAAATACTAAGACTATATAAATCCTATAAGTTACTGAAAACTACCTAATCCAAAATCTTAAAAGCCTTTGCGATTGAAACCATTTCAACAGCAACGATGGTGGCTGGTAGTGGAATCCAGGACGTGCATTTCGTTCTATTTGGGACTCGTCAGCTGGGCGTACCTGCGTCCCAGGGTTACTTTTCACTCCAGGACTTGAACTCAGTATTATCCTCTTTAAAGGCTATCGCGTTATCCACTTAGCTACTGAATCCAGAGGGCTAATAGCTTTTGGCCTATTGCACACATGGTTTCCACTGCTAGCCACCATCATTGCTGCTTATAATGCTAGACTTATGACTATAACGAAGCAATTGGTACAGGATGCACACATGCCAATAAGAGACTGATCAAGTGAAGGATTCAAACAACACTATGATTAAAATGTTAACTTTTAAAACAAACATCTGCCTGAATTACAAATGTTTTCCGTCAATTTGTTAGTCATAATATCTTTCGATTCCACTACAAACAGGTTTGTGGAATTATTTTATTATCCTTGTCGATTATCTCTGTTCAAAAGGTCAATAAATTACAGTTTTATATTTTTGTGAGTACAAAATAAAAAACTAGTAATCCAGTGTGTTAAAAATACTAAAAAAAGGTACATTTTTAATAGTTCACTGAATATTATATACTTATTTCCGTTTGGTCACTCATTATACTTTGATACAACAAAATGGAAAATCCAAAACGTAAATGTCAGGAAGTAATGAAATTGGAACAAATATTTCAACAGACATACGCTATTTATAGTAGGGACAAAAATCATTTTCTTCTTAAGAATTGAAATGTTGAACGTAATTGAATCACTAATTCGTTTGAAAAATGATGAAAACCTTACAAAATGCTAAGATTTATAGAAATTAATTTGTGAGAAAAGTGTAAATTTCTTTAAAATTTACTGTATTTCGTCTAGTAATAATCATAAAAGTGAGTAATCCTATAACTCATTACTTTTCACCGTTTATTTACTAAGTATAGATATTCATATATTCCGGAGATTTGTTTCTAATGATCATATCATTGATAATAAGTCCATGATATATAGCATTCGATAAGTTGTACACGGTTAGTTGACTGTAGTCAAAGAAAAAACATGATACCTTGTCAAATGAAGTACAATGTTTTTACGAAGATGAAAGTGGATAGAGATGAAATACTTTGGTTGGGTAGATGGAAACCTTGTATCAACAGCAGAATCCATACTTTAGTACAAGAAAAGTAAGCTAATGATTTAACATTTACTTTCAGTTAGTTTGGATTATCAGAAATAGTGAAATTTAAACCAGGCACTGGATATCTACTGAAACAGTAATTTTGCATAACTCTTTGTAGCTAAATATAAATACTTATCCCTGTTAGTCAGTTATCCATTTAAAACAATCTAAAACATAAAACTGTACTAGGCCATCGAATCACATTTTTGCAGCAAGATAAACTTAAAAAGATCGACATTAAACCGCTTCAGAAATTTTGTCGACTACTCAATGAAAATAAAGTAAAACTTAAAAATAATACATAAGCATTTTATAAAACGATCATCAAACAAACATTCAACAAAACATCCACTGAACAAATGTAAGTGGAAGTTCTTAATAGAAACAGAATCAAAGGCGTTCGTTGCTTGAAGCAAAATAAAACCAGTATTAAATAATTATTTTCATAAGTCTAAATAATTCATGAAAAGAATGCTTCGAAAATTGTCACTTGAATGAATATTTAGTTAATTACACCCGAATAAAAGCATCCATAGAAAACGACCAAGGAGTATATTTTAGAAATTACTGTTACTAAATATCACTAATAATTTATATTATAGTTATTTTTCTGTACATTTCAGGGTACACTGCAGTAAATTATAAAGAAATTTACTCACAATAATGATTGTATGGAGATTTAAAAATGTACCGAGCATTTCCACTTAACATTGTTTTGTTTAGTTCGACAAAACTCTCTATAGATTGAATGTTCTTCGTTAAGTCTGAAACAATTTTCCCGTCTGTTTGCTGAATACAATCCATAAATTAGGCTCCATTTTTGTCAATACGACTTGAATTGCTTTTTAATCGATTTGTCTCCATTGGACAGCATTGCCGGATTTCATCAAGTTATCAATGGACATTTCATAAATGAAGATTTATAAATTTTAGTGTCGAATGTTTCTTCTGCGTTTTATTCTTTATGGTATATTAAAAATGATACTAGGTTAAAAATATCCAGTTGTATAGATTATACCCGCATTCAACCAGTCATACCTTTTAAAGGTTGTTCATATACTGATCGTTTAAAGCTTATCCATTATTATCAGCTTCACTCTCACCTGTTATTTCATGTTTAAGCTTAGATATATAAAACGATTGATTATATGTCGTTGGAAGTTTCTTAATTGATGGTTAAAATAACAAACTCACTGTGGTCTATTATAAAACATTTCTTACTGTTATCAAGCCATGTCACACTCACCCTGGTATTTATTATCAAAGTGCAAACTATTGGACGTTTTATTCTCCGGTTGTAGTTCATTATAACACAGAACTGGCCTAAGACATCAGCAGTAAAACTTTATTCTGAGTAAAAAGCAAATTAGTATAGAGTTTTGTAGTTATAACTAACTCGTATTTCATTTTGATACACAAACACTTAGTATGGTTGTATTATATAGATGACGGTTTGCTCAATACTCTACACTACTTTCTTTAAACGTTTATTTGAAATTTAAATTGTTGAAATATAATTTCACCATTGACTTAATGCTTGTCGTTTCAGACAGTATTAAGATCACAGCAGCCGTAAAGTGAATTTTGTATGTATACCTAGTGAAGACAAAACTATTTCATTTAGATGAAATACTTTTAAGTTTTAAATTTTAAGTGCAGTAATAGAATTTGACTAGTATTCAGCAAGTCGATAGACAAGTGTTTTATCTCTGTACATTTCCGTTTGACTAACTTTAAAATATGGTTTAAAAATGTTTTGTAAACTCAATTGCTGGCATTTACATATATTTGCACCTTAAGGTTCGATGTTAAATTGGATTAATAAGATCCAGAAAAGTGTACTTTTTAATCTTCCAATAATTATTTCATCCAACGACAGAAGAAATCAGGATGGCCATCAGACAAATCAAGAGCGGGAAAGCAGCAGGACCCGACAATGTGCCAGCTGAAGTACTGAAGCTAGACATCGAAGTAACTACAAACATGCTTCACCTTCTATTCAAAAAGATTTGGGAGGAGGAACAAGTGTCGATGGACTGGAAAGAATGACACCTCATCAAGATTCTAAAGAAAGGAGACCTGAGCAAATGTGAAAACTACAGAGGAATCACACTACTGTCAATACCAGGGAAAGTCCTTAACAGAGTGTTGCTGAACCGGATGAAAGACGCAGTAGACTTTCAACTCCGAGATCAACAAGCCGGATTCCGTAAGGATTGGTCGTGCACAGACCAAATTGCAACACTACGGATCATCGTCGAACAATCAGTTGAGTAGATCTCGTCACTGAACATCAACTTCATCGATTATGAAAAGGCATTTGACAGTGTAGACAGGAGGACGTTATGGAAACTTCTTCGACACTATGGAGTTCCTGAGAAGATTGTCAATATTATCCGGAACTCATATGATGGACCACAGTGCAAGGTCGTGCATGGAGGACAGCTGACAGATGCATTCGAAGTAAGGACCGGAGTCAGACAACACTGTCTACTCTCTCCCTTCCTTTTTCTTCTGATGGTCGACTGGATTATGAAGACCGCGACATCTGAGGGAAAACACGAAATACAATGGACAGCTCAGAATCAATTAGACGATTTGGACTTCACAGATGACATAGCCCTCCTATCGCATACACACGAACAGATGCAGATAAAGACAGCCAGTGTAGCAGCAGTCTCTGCATCAGTAGGCCTCAACATACACAAGGGGAAAACCGAGGTCCTCAAATTCGAAACGGAGAACAGCAATCCAATCACTCTTGATGGCGAAACTCTGGAAGACGTAGAATCCTTCACACACCTGGCAAGCATCGTCAATGAACAAGGAGGTTCAGATGCAGACGTAAAGGCGAGGATTGGCAAAGTAAGGGCCGCATTCCTACAATTGAAGAACATATGGAACCCAAAACAACTTTCAACCAATATCAAAGTGAGGATCTTCAATACCAACGTCAAAGCAATTCTACTGTACGGAGCTGAAACTTGGAGAACTACAACAACTATCAAGAAGGTACAAGTATTTACAAATGGTTGTCCACGCAAGATACTCAACATCCATTGGGCAGATACCATCAGCAACAACCTTTTGTGGGAGAGAACAAACCGGCTTCCTGCTGAAGAAATTAGGAAAAGACGATGGAAATGGATAGGACATACATTACGCAAATCATCAAACTGCATCACGAGGCAAGCCCTGGCTTGGAATCCTGAAGGGAAGCGGAAACGAGGAAGTCCAAAGAACACATTGCGTCGGGAAATAAAAGCAGATCTGGAAAGGATTAATAACAACTGGAAGGAGCTGGAAAGGATTGTCCAGGACAGGGTTGGATGGCGAATGCTGGTGAGTGGCCTATGCTCCTTCACGAGGAGTAACAGACGTAAGTAAGTAAGTAATTAAGTTCATTATTTCATACCTGTCGGTTTGTGATAATTCGAATTTTTAAATCAGATAGGAACGATATTTATGGCTGAATAATATGGGTTCATTTATTTTGAGGACTATCTTTAACTTCTTACGACTTATTGACAATATTAATAATTCATTGATAATGGTTTATATACTTTCTATTGTATCAATAAGGATTACTGAAAGCCTAAGGAATATTGACAAACTCTTGAAAATTTTCTAACGATCGGATGTTTATATGTTGAGTAATGTAAAGAATCTGGAGAAAAAAAGATTTAAAACACGCAAAGACAAGTTTCTAAAAAATGAGATAGACTGTAATCATGGTATATTAACATTCTGAAAATTAAATTATATAAAAGAGGTAGAAATTATAAATATTACTGATAAAGCACAAGTACTTATGAGCTAATATAAGTTATGTGTATACATTATTCACCAAAGACATAGGAAACAAAGTCGAATATATGTTGAACATATAATATACCAGGTGAATTCCATACAATTTTCCACAACCAGCAGACAACCAAACGCACAAATAAAGCTTGGTCTGTGATCAATGTTAACGGAAGGTTCTTATCACATACGACCCAAGTCTGTGGACAAAAGTACTTTTTACAATTCACAATTCTTAATAAATTAATAAAAGTTGATCGATAACGTCTAGAAGTTATAACTACACCATAAATTCTGACATTTCGTCTAAATCTTTTTTAAATATACGGATGTCTAATTCTGAGTAAACCTGGATAGTCATAAAACCAGAATGAAAGGTTAAAAAAAGTGGACTAGTTTCTCAAGAAAAACCCATTACCCTAAAGATGGAAATCCTTTCTTAAAACAGTATATTATTCATTTTATTTGATCAATACCACATATCACTATTAGATGAATTTAAAGCGTACTCAGTCAATTGCATTCAGACCCAAAACATGCTACAAGAAGAAATATAGGGAAAAATTCCATTCAAATACTTACATATGGAAGTAAAGTAGGTTGAGTGATTTCTTCGGGTATAAACCCAATAGTCAAAAAGTCATTGCAAGAGGTAAAATTAATAGAAACCCGTAGTCTATGGAACCAGTATGATGTATGTCCTTCAGGATAAGAATAATGTAGAAGTCTTCCATTTGGATACACTTTTATCTAGTTTTGTAAGTGAAAAATAAATTGCAAAGTAAACATAAAGGTAGCAAGCACAATCTACATTATGAACAAAATGTGGTAGATAAAACATCCACAAATAGGATCTTAATGTTACTTGTATATGTAAGAAAAATGGTTTCTGACAAGCAATCATTACACCTTGACTACTAAATTTTCAAGGGTAAAAAATGAGGTCAAACCAAAAACTCTACCAAACCAACCTCAGCAAACCTAAGAACATAGATTTTGTAGTATGGTTCAATAGGGTAAGTTGTATCCAGTGTTGAAATAACCAAAACTTAGAAGGAAAAATTCAAGGTGATCATTCGTCTTGAGAGAGCTATCAAAGTATATCTAGCAAAGAGTGACTGAGATAGTAACAGTATTAGCAGTAAACATCAAATATATGATCCAAGAATATATCTAAAGAAGATTAAAATGAGGAGAACCAAAATAGCTAACAACGTATCATCAATAACTGCAAAGAACATTAACATAAAAGACAAACTTTGAAAATAAGGAGTAAAATAGTGAGATACAAAAGACGTAATGAATTTGAGATTTAGGATTTGAAGGAAGTATAACGAATTCTACTGTTTTACTAATACTCAAATTTGGACCTTGAGATATCAGGCCTTTAAACACTAGATGCGGTCATTATGCTGATTCCAGGTACATGTTTACAATTGAGAACAGCTTTTAGGCCAACAGTTGGTAACTGCAGTGGCTGATGAGATGTCCTACTTTGTCCAGCCTAGGACTTCTTACAACATGATTTCCGGTTAATCACCACTGCAAATATTGGAAGATTGTAGCTGAAAGTATATTTTGAATAGTTAAACAAATACTAGCCCTGAATTAAAATTATTTGGCCTCTTTCACTGTTATAAAAGCCCTATAAACTTTTATAAAATCCTGAGAAGTCTGAAATACCTTGAAGAGGGGTGCCATTCCCATTTATACAAAGAGTATAAGAATATATTGTTAAACCTCCCCATCAATTGGCATGGATAGTGCATGTTTATCCATTTTAAAAGCAAAATTTTACTACTATCTTCATCTGCTCAACTGTTCAATCAGCTTATAAGCTGATTAATGAAAATATACTAATGGTCTCAATAGTGGGTTGACCCTGTACATATAGAGAGAATTATTGTGTGAACAAGAAGCTCCTTTGATTCCATCTGTTTAAGGTGCTTAAATTCTCTAAATTTCCTAATTTAGTAATACATTAACTCAGTATATACTAATTTAACACTAGTCCGAATAGTCCAATAATATATATAATTAAAACCGCCAGTCTAAAAAATGAGTGTTGATATTGAGCAATTTTACATCTCACCCAATTCTTTACTGTTAGAAAGTTAATTGAAAAAAATATATATATTTAGCTCTACTATAGTAGAGCTAAATAATAAAGTTATGCTCACCAACCTTACAAGCATATAACAGATTGTTCCATGACGAATTATATAATCCGGTGACAAAACTCATCTGCCTAGAAAGCGAAAATCTTCTAAAGCCAGAGTGACTCCGGCAGTAATCTGAATTGTCTGGCAATATTACATCTACAGTACCGTTTAAGTTAGTGAATGTACCTACATTCCTCGTAGCTTCCGAATACCACAGAGTAAACCTGTAGACTTGTTAAAGCCAGTGGCAATAAACGCATGTCAGAAATCTCATGAAGGCCGACGATAACATAAAATGAACCTGTGTTTTCATGAGGCTTGAAATACCGCTGAAAGTAAATGTATGAACTTTATATGTGTTTGACCCGAAAAACAAACCCCAGACTATATCATTTCTTCAGTCCGTAACATGTAATTTACATAACTTTACGTCGGAAAGCTTTAATCTTTCATGTCATTCGCTATTCACAGTATCGATAAAATGGTTCAAATGGTTCAAATGGTTGTGGACGGAATAGAAGAAGCTTTCGCTTAACAGGCTTCCGTGTCTAGTAGCAGGGGATCACCAAATCCTCCAGGCAGGAACCTAGGTATGTTAACAATAGAAGAGGAAAAGAAATTGGTAAATCATAGTGTGATGCTGTCTTTGGTCCTTAAGAATAGGTCAAGTTGCCTCTTGAAGGACTACTGAGAAGTCGCTTGGACTAGCTCGGCCGGCAGCGAGTTCCAGCTTTTGACAACTCTTAAGGAGTAGAAGTTGTGTCTACATTCCGTCTCGCTATGCTGTGTTTCCAGTTTCTGGGTGTTACCCCTTAGGTTATTATTCGAACTAAGCTTAAGTAGGTGTTTAAGAGGATGTCCAAAAGTGTTAAGAATACTATAAGCCATTAATAAATCACCTCTAAGACGCCTATATTCTAGTGGGTAAAGGTCTAGTGAACGGAGGCGTTCTTCGTAAGGCTTAGATTTGAGTCCTCGAACTGATTTCGTGGCTCGCCGTTGGATACGCTCCAAAGTGACCTTGTCCTTTTGGAGTGAGGGGGGGAGTACTATGTTTCCGTACTCTAAATGGGGACGGATGAAACTATTGAAGATTGTGTGGAAAGTTCTTCCGTCAAACTGGCCAAAAATGCGCCTCAACGTTACCAGTGCAAGATTTGCTCGGAAGGCATTTTTGTCACAGTTAGCGTAAGACTTTAAGTCATGGGGCACCAGGACTCCTAAATCCTTTTCGACTTGGGATACTACTAGAGAGGAGTTTCCTAAGTTGTAACTGTGGTTTGCGACATGTCGCAGATGGACTACTTTACACTTTGAAGTGTTAAAGGTAAGTCCGTTATCGTCTGCCCAATTTTGAAGTCGCGTCAGATCCTCCTGAAGTGCCTGTGTATCGTCTTGGTTGCGTATCTCTCTCCAAAGTTTCACGTCGTCGGCAAAAAGTAATAAGTCTGACGTTACCTGTTGAGGAAGATCATTTATGTAGATCAAGAAGAGAAGAGGCCCTAGTACTGAGCCCTAGGGGACCCCACTAGGACATTCCATAGCCTCAGATAAAGTGAAATTAACCCTAACCTTAAAGTGTCTATTTTTTAGGTATGAAGTAAGCCAGTCGATTAGAGGTGGTTTGATACCTAGTCGTTTGAGCTTATTGATAAGACACAAGTGGTTAACCTTATCAAAAGCTTTTGAGAAATCAAGGTAAATGACATCAACCTTTCCCTTGCAATAGAGGATGCTTGTCCATCTGTCCACCGCAGTCAGCAGGTTGGTTATACAAGAGTAACCCTTCCTGAAACCATGCTGTTGGGGTGAGAAGAAATTTAAGGACAGTAGATAGTCATTTAAACCGTCGCATATCAGGGACTCCATGAGTTTTGAAGGTAATGACAGAAGAGCCACCGGCCGATAACTTGAAGTTTCATTGCGTCGACCACCTTTGAAAATTGGTGTGATGTGAGCCAACTTCCAATTTTCCGGTAATTTGCCTCGTCTAAGAGAGTGTGAAAACATCACGCTAAGCGGCGTTGCCAGGATTGAGGCTGCCTCCCTCAGTATGGCAGGATGAACCATATCCGGGCCAGGAGAAGTGTCAAGTCTTAAGTGCTGCAGTTTCCGGAACACCAAGTCAGCGCTTAGGTCCACTTCAGAAAGTCCTGTGGAATTGCAGATGAAACTGTCGTCAATAAAGTTGATGTCAGCCGGTTGAAATGTTTGAGAGTAATGTGCCGCCAGAAGGTTAGCGGCGTCGCCATCATTGTTGGTCGGGCCGTTAAGACCTAGCAGTTGAGAAACTCCTGTTTTGGCTTGACGAAGAGAGGCTGCGTAACGGAATAGGCTTCTAGGGTTAGAGGCGAATTTGTCCATAAGCTTTGTTTGGTACTGAAGCCTGTCTTCTCTTATAGCCTTCGTGCATATGTTCCTGATATGTTTATATTGCCTATACGCTCCATCGTTATTAGTTCGTTTATATTCCGCCCAACAGTATCTTTTGCGGCTTAGCAGGGGAAGGGTACGGTTCTTGATTACTGTAGGTGGCTTGCAGCTATTGGGAACCGTTTGAGGAACTGAATGGTCCGTAGCACATAAGAGCGTGTGCAGTAAGAAGTCCCAATGACCATCCACATCGAGTTGAGGGTGAACATCCCAAACCACCTGTTGTAGATAGTCATGTAGAGCTGGCACATTCAGCCGTTTAAAATTCCAACGCAAATTATTGTTGGGATACCTTAGCTTAGTTTTGATGACAAAACTGAAGGCTATGACGGCGTGATCGCTCTTTCCCAGAGGAGACAGGATTGAGAGGTTGTCAACTAGGAATTCTTCGTTAGTGAATACACAGTCTAAGCGCGATGGTGTCTGACTGTTTCTCCAACGAGTTGCCGACCTCACATTTTCATATAAGCCCAAGTCATCGATGAGGTTGAAGAACCGAGCTTCAATTGAGTTGTCGCCTCCAGTGTACGTGTGTTCCGCGAAGTTGACTCTAGGGAGATTAAAGTCCCCTAGAATCAGGATGTGTGTGAAACCGAGACGGATAGAGCGGGATAGTCCTTCCAGCATACGACTATCGTACTCGGTGTCGGCAGTTGGCTTCCTGTAAATGACTCCGACTAGACACCTGGAAGTACTAGACAATCTTACAGAGCACCATATGGATTCCTCAAGATTGTTAAACTCGAGGTTGTGAACATGGTGCACCTCCAAGCAAGAGCTTATGTATATGGCTACTCCGCCCCCAATTCCTATTTTTCTGTCGTTGCGGAACAAAGTCATCCCAGGTAATGCTAACTCTTGGTCCGAGAACTGAGAAGATATCCAGGTTTCAGATATTCCTATCAGATGGGCCTTGTTAGCGTTGCTAAGTTCACGTAGTTCATCCAGTTTGTTTGGTAGACTCGCGGCGTTCATGTATAAGCAGTTTATGCTTTCAATTTGGAACGCGTGACCTTCGTCCTGTTTTTCTGTATGAACCTTATGTGAATGGACAGGTAGCCCACCTATATGAGGTTTGCCGAGGTGGTAGGCCCTGTCCTTTACACGTTTTTTTATCGTTTAGACAGTCCACAAGTGGAATGGTCAGCTCCAACTTGCCTTTGTTCTTGGTCCTGACTTCGTATGGCCTATCCGGGTGCATGTGGATTCCAGGTGGCAATCGACGTCTATTAGCACGAAATGCTTCCAGAACTGCAGCCGCCATGTGGGAAGATGGAAAGGTTATCTTCATTAGACGGGGTCTAAGATCACCGTCCTTCTTGGCTAGTCTTGTCACATGCTGAGTCAGTATGTGTTTGAGCCTCAAGGACTGTTTGATGAATTTCCATTCCCTGATGTCAGAATTTGATTGAGTAGGGTCTGCATTTTCCGGTATACCTTGGACAATTATGTTTCTTCCGCAGAAAAACTTCCCGCGAGATTCTTTAGGGACGTTTCGTATGATATTGCGCTCAGAGTACGGTATGTCGGGCAATATTCTTACGTTACCATCTGATTTCAGTAAGTGACTTGCTAGCAAGACGTCCTCTACGTCGGTAGCATTCTTAAATGTTACTCGGAGAAGACTCGGGTGATTTAGATGCTTAGAATCCTTTCCTCGAGTGAGCCGGGTGACCGTCAAAGGCTCTATTCTAGGAAGTTCGAGCTTCTTGTTCAATTCACCCCACAGCATCCTGTCGTTTTTATCCTGCAGACTGAGAGGAAGGTCAGGATTGTCGACGAGGTTCATGATAATGAGAGAATCGTCACGAACTGTTGTTAATTTACCAGGTTTCACGATGGGTTCAGGTTTAATAACTTGTTGTTTAGAGGTCAGTGCGCGTTTTTGAGTCTTGGGCTCTTTGATGACCGGACGAACAGTCTTGAGGGTAGACTGTGCGACCAAATCACCAGCTGTTTTCCGTACAGCAACACTTGGGTTGCTCGGCTTAGGCGGTGATGCCTGGTTCTTTTGGGCTCTCTTAACGTGGGTCGAATCACCTGCAGGGTTTTTGGGAACCACTGTTGTGTTCAGGGACCCTGAGCTGGGAGACCCGAGTTTGCCTAGGGAGTCTAGTACCGTCGACGTAATGATAGTAATGAGCCTCGACACGTCGTCATTAGTGTTGGTGGATGCTCCATCGATGGTATACCTATCGACATCCCTATTTTTGAGTCCGTTGCGCGCTCTTGTTTGTATATCGGTTTTTTTACTGTCGTATTCCAAGTTAACTGACAGCTTGTTCCGAAGACCTGTCAGTGGGACAATGATGTTACTCAGCAAGACTACTGCGTCCGTGTTATACGTGACACACACCCACTTTTGGTCTGACTTGCTGAGTCTGTTGTAAGCAGTTGCTGTCAGATTTGTGCATGCTTCGTGGAACCAACCTTTGCAGTTGTTGCACTGCATGCCAGTTGTGACAGCAAAACGGCATCCCGGACGTTTGCATGAGTTTTTCATGACGGTGTTGAAGCAAACTATGTTATAGATGCTTGCAAGAGCTTAAGACCTTTTTAAAAAAAACACTAAAAAGCACACTGAAAACGGACAAAAATGGACAAAACGAGTGATATAAACTGAAACTAGTCTATACGTGAAAAACAAAAAAAACGAATAGTAAGCTGAGGCAAAACCACAGGTAACTATTAAATATAGTGAAACTCAAAAAAAAGTAATCTACCGAACGTATAGCTCAGGATAGATTCTTTAGAACTGAAATGGTACTTTTGTTGCGTAAGAACACAGCAAAAGTTTGATATATACAAATCACGTTAGGACTAAACTTCCCGTTCGAAAAGCGCGTTCATTTCAAACCATAATCAACAGTAACCAAGGAGGATGAACTGGCTCATGGTCACCTGATCACCACGATAGGAATAACCAAGTTAGGTACCAACCTCCAGTTGTGACAAGGATGTG